CTAGTAGAATAATCTGGGGGTGGGCAGAGAAAATGCAGCTTGTTACCAGGACTGTAGCAATGCTCTGGAGAAAGCAGGAATGGTCTGAGCAAGAAGTGAAGGCTTGGAGTGAGCATGCATCCTATGGCAAGTGAGGCAGCTGGAGCCCTCTCAGTGGTCAGGGGCCTGTAGCCTACTTCATCTACTATAATATCAAAACCCACAAGTCTCTCAGTGCCTAGTTCAAACTAAAGTACATGGTGATTTGATTTTCAAGATTCTCTACAGATACATGTCAGATTAACAACCGGACGACTGTATCGTGCTAAATCTAACCGACCCTGTACCCTTTACAAAGCCAAACTAAGTCATCTTTCTTAAGCTGTGGTTCCCTTTAAACTCAGACTCAACACGGTGAAGTGTTTTCTCCTGCCATCTCAGTGAGCTTCTAGGCATGCTGGCAGCCTCCGAAACCATAATGGAATAAACCGTGATGGCAGAATTCAACGTGCTTTTAATAAAAAGCCGGAATGTTGGACTTTGCAAAATATAGTTGCTTTTCTGGGCACAAAGATTAGCAGTTTACAAGTAGGTACTTTGCTCCCCTACAGTAATTTACTATTTTGTTTATAGTTTAGTTAGTCTTGCCATCGAAGTAGGAACAACTGAAACCAATCAAGAACTCACAGCAGCCTGATTTGATAGCTCCAGGGCTGCTTCTACTGACTTCTGCCATAAAGCTGAAAATGTACCCCACAGCAGAGTCTGCATTTAACTTCTCATTCCAAAGACACATGCCACTCTGCCCAAAAGGGATAAATCAGCTTAGCTGGTGGAGTCACGACTAATTTTTAACAAGGCAGCAGCAACTTTGGATCTTACAGCTCAATAAACGTAGCGACTGGCTCAGCCTTAAAGAACCGGAACGTGCGGGACTCCAAGTGGAAGTTTTACTATCCGAGAAGTGTGCCTGACTTAGTCACTAGACAGGCAGTGGGACTGACAGTCTCACAACATGGACAGTCAGTCAAAGAAGTCCACAAGAGCAAAGGAAACTGTCCAGTGAGGTCAAGCATGAAAACAGGGGCCAGTGGGCTTTCACTTACTTACAGGAATTTAAGTCAAACAAAATTTGTGGGAGGCATACTGAAATCCAGCATAGATTCCTTTTTCATTTCCACTGTGGAAGATACATTTGCCTACACAAAACTGACAGGAGGCTGAGAGTCAGGGTTTTCCTTAATGTTAGAAAATGACTCAGTGGCAATTGTCACTCCTTCTCTGTGTTCCCAGGGCCCCTTGTACACTCCTTTGGAGTACTACCTATAAAAATCTGCTCACTATCAGTCTCCCTCAAGACTGGAAACTCTCTCATAGTCCAAGCAGACCGTAGCAAAGAAAGGGAATTCAAAAAGACTTTTCTCCCAGTGCAATGAATGAGACTGTCTTGCTCCCTGTTGCCACACATCTCTGCCCCTTCTGAACCAGTACTTTGGGTATGGCCTCCACTAATGAAAATCTAGGATTTATACATTACTGGAAAATTCCTCTATCATTTCACTTTTAATGGACTACATTTTTTTTTTTCCAAAACAGTTTGAATACTTAGGAGGAAATGGCTAATATAAATACAACAGAAAAATGCTGACTGGCTTGAAAGGCAGTAAAAACATTTGTGCTCAATTCATTGAAGAGAAGTGGGTGATGAATTACTGAAAACACAGCATTCCTTAAAAAAATAAAAATTTCCTTAAAAACAACGCCGCCCCCCTACAAAACACAAAAACAAAAACAAAAACACATTCCTACTTCTAAGTAAATTGCCCCATCAGTACATTTTGGTTTTCATAACCTAAAAAAGATAGTGCACAACAGAAGAAAGGCCAATTAAATCAAATTAAGGATAAAAATGAGCCCCAAGTGCCTCATTTTTAGTGCCAGCAAGGTGACATTAACCCTTTAATAGCCAAAAGTCTCTAAGTCACTCTCACAAAAAATTACCATAAACCAAGATGCTATGTATCTGGCCTTAGGGACTCTAACAGTAAGAGCAGACACCAAACAGTGTTTATTATGTGGCTCGAACTTTTCAAAACAAAATTTCATTTAATTCTTACCAAAAATCTAGTAAGTGCAATGATCATTCCCATTGCAACAGATGAGAAAACAGCACAGAGAGATTACATAAATTGTCCAAAGTTCAGCAGCTCATAAGTGGCAGAACCATGACTCAAAACCGAATAGTCTGGCTGTACAGTCTTAAATCCATGTGCTATGCTGCCTTTCCCATAGAACCCTCTATGTACACCAAATGACAAGTAGGGAGTCTGCCTGAACATATGTACAATAATCCTTCAGAAAAGCTACTTGTTAGGACATAAAATCCAGGCCTACCTAAAGAGAAAAGCCACTCCGAAGCAAACTTACGTTTTCAAGATGGTAAACTTATTGAGCACTTACCTCTTCTCATTCCTCAAATCCCATTAATGGCATAGAAAATTTTGAAGAAAACCATAATTCCAAGACAACAGGCAAAAGCAGTATCAGATAAAAATGTTTCCACAGGGAAAACCACAGAATAATCACAACTAAACCCCCAAATAAAAGAGGTCTGCTACAGAGATGAAAACTATTCTTTCTGATGAAACAAAGTGCAGCAGAAATCCTAATCTGAGTTAAAAAGTATACAGACTGGGTTTCTGGGGTTTTCCCCAGGGTGACTTATTAAATGATGGCCTACAGCCTAGCCCTGTACAACAGCTTGCTCTCAAAGGCCGAGGTTATCTCCTAGCATGGGCCTTGAGGCACAGTGGAGTCTATGTCTGGGACTTCCCGAAAGACACATGAAAGAAAAAAACAGTGAAGCGATCCATACCAAGGACGGCAATACAGTCAAGTGCTCCGCGCTTACAGTGAAAATTGCCCGTGGCAATTGTGGGGAACCCCAGCTTGTTCCTCACTCTCCAGACTCTGAGCTCCTCACTTGCAAACAAGCCCAACCCTGCAGAGCCCTGTAGGGAGTCATTACCATGAGGGAGGAGGCCTACTGCTGATACAGTATTATAAAACTTTTGAGGAAACTTAGACTCATTTTATTCCTAAAAACACCTGCAGATTGAAAGTGAGGGGACAGTGAACCATTTATCATGCTAATGGACATCACAAAAGCAAGCTGGAGTAGCCATACCTACAACAACTGGATTTTAAACCATTTTAAATATAAAGAGTATAATAAGACATGAAGAAGGGCACTATTTCATAATATAGGGGTCTGTCCAACAAGAAGATCTAACAAGTATTTATGCCCCCAAATTGGGAACACCCAAATAAATAAAACTTTTGAGGAAACTTAGTATAATTAACCTAAACCTAATCCTGTATTTATAAATATGTTTGGATCGCCAAGGATCAAAACCTACAATTCAAAGACCTAAAATGAAAGGAGTCAAAATTCACAGAAAAAATTTGACATTAAAATCATAACAAATTCTTAGGTATCTGTACCAGTGGAGGATTTGAGGCACAAGAACTACAGAACTACTTAGAGCTGGCACTGAAAATGTTTTCCAATTCCTGCCAGATTGACCACCCAAAGAAAATTCTACATAGACTGGTATTAAAATAAACTTTTATTCTCTAAGGATATATGCACAGAGACCAAATTCTGGCCCTCGCTCTAAGTCCAAAATTTATGCAGTCTTGGGAAAATTACTACTTTTCTGTCTCAATTCTCCCACAAATTAAATAGGGACAATATTTTTTGGTCCAATCTGCCTCAAGGAGAGAGATTAACAATCCCAAGAGAAAAGGTATATTTTTAAAATTTTTTTTTGAAGTACAAAGCACCATACAGACGCAAGGTGATGCTGTTAATTGAAAACAAGGCTGCATAGCGGAGAGCAGATGGAATACGGCTTTGGCTGAATCCAGCTTTGGCTGCAAAGTTTGCTATGGAAGGTCCACATACAGTCAAGCGGGCAAGCCTACGGTATCTATTTCCTAAGACAGGTTGATTTACAGTCAATAGTTCTTGACGGCTCTGGGTAGTCAGAATAATGCCATATTATCCTCTTCAGGAATAACTCAGGAAAAGGCCTTTGCTGTTGCCAAGTGATTCAGGAGCACGTACTCAGTTTTACAGTCTCGAATGAAACTCCTGTATAAACATGGTTAGGACTGGAACTGTTCCCCTGGTTCTCAGGGAACAAGAGAAATACTGCCAGCAATTCAGTCATTTCATGGTCCTGCTACCAAGAAATGACCCCATATGCAGCTCCAAAAAGACTTGTGTCAGTCTGAAGACAGAAGTTTGAGTAAGACAGACGTCCTTGGCGATCAGGTTTAAGTACTACCTAAATGTGTTCACCAAATAATCGCCGAGTTCCATAGGGCAGACCAGGCTACTCGCTGTACTAACAAGTCCAGCCTACTCTTGAGGCAAAAATTGGTCAAACACATTTATAATGACAAATAGCTAATGCTAAACTAGAGTGACAAGACAAAGTACCTTAAAATGATATGCACATAAATCACAAGATTTTAAAAAAATGTTTCACTGTACTTTTCAAGTTGAGGCTTTAATAGGGTTCTTCATAAATGTTAAGTTCTTTAAGATTTGCTTTCTACCAGAAGAAATAAAAGCAACCAAATATCTGAAGGTCTGGCTTGGATGGATTTATATCAATCAATCATGAAAACTAAATTTATGAAACAATCAGGAAAGTTTAAACACTAGCTGGATGTTTGATGATAAAATAGTGTTGGGTTATTTTTTAAAAACAAAAATGGTATCTTTTATCTTTTAGATATATATATCTTTTGGAAATACATCCTGTTTGCTGGTGTAATGGCAGGATGTCTAGGAATCACATCAAACTAACATGGGGGAGTGCCACGTGCTGGTAACTGCTGAAGGTGGGTGCTGGATTCACAGGGGTGGTTATACTGCCCACCTTTATATAGAGCTGGGGTTCTCATAATAAAATGCTTTAAGTGTACAATCAAAGGTGACTTGTTCTTACCTCTGCTAGAATCTTTTACTACAATGTCAGAGATTTCAAACAGTTTCAGAGGAAGGGGCATCTTCCGATTCGCAGCTATAGTCTTTAGGAGGCCAGGAAGAAGGGTAGTGCGTGCCACCTACAGGAGAAGACATGAAACTGAAATGACCAAAACATAACCCAAACAGACTTGGTTATAAAACAAGGCCAAAAGAACTCGACAGCTTCACAGTAGTAAGACTCTTCTGGAAAATGCAATGAGTAAATGTCCAAATCATTTTTAATTATCAGTTCCAAGACAAAAAACTGACAATATCCTGGCTCCCAAACTTACAAAATGAAAAAAATCATAAAGTCTGATCGAAAACTGAGAAGTATAAATACAATGCCTATATCTAGGATTGGTTATGATCATTTTTAAAATTAAAGTTAGCTTTTAAGATTACAAATATGTAAATTTTGATATCCTGCTTTATTTTATAAAGTAACTGAAGGAGATTACAAGAAATTCAAGTATTTAAATGAGATTAAATATGAGCTAATCAAATTCTTAAAAACCAAGACTAGGGAAAATGTAAATGCAATTACAGTATCACAATGAGAAAACAGAACACAAATAGGTAAGCACTAAAAAAATTATGCAGCTGCTATGGGCAAGCTGTGACCATAGTTTTCAGCTTAGTGGCCCAAGAAATAAAAACAAACATGCTAGTTCTAAAAATAAACAAAAAGACAAAAAACAACAACTTCTCTACTTCTATCTCAAATTTCTCACTCTAAGCTATATGATAGGTTAGCTGTCAACACTCTATTCCCCGAAGTTTTAACAGCAGTGGTAGGGCACCACCCTTAAGATCCTGGGCTCGCAGCAGACACCAGCACCACTACCCTTCACGCAGACTACTGCAGGAGCTTAAGCTGGTTTCTCTGCTTCTACTCCTGCCGCCTTATGGCCTGCTCTCCACACACAGTGATGATCTAAGGCCTACATCAGATCATGACACTCCCCTGCTCAAAAATCTAATAAGTTTCCATCAAATTTTGAATAAAATCATGCCCCTGCATGGGGTCCTATCTGAATCTGGCCCGGGCCTCCTCCCCACACTCCATGCCTGCCGCTCCCTCTGGTTTACTGGGTTTCAGCCACACTCCCCAAGCAGTTCCATCTCAAGCCCCCATGCCTCCCTCCTTCCTCTACCGCATACAGTCTTCCTCTGGGTTCACATGTGGCTGTCTTTCTTTCTTCAGGTCTCTGTTCAAAAGGTCCCCACAGGGGCCTGCCCTGACCACCCTGGCTAAAACAGCAGCCCCTCCTAGATCCTACAGGCATAACAGGAAAACTCTATGAAGACTTGCTTGTACAATGTGTATTGAGGGAAAGAGAAAACCTTTCCGAATACATTCACTCTGCCACCTGCTGCTGGCAGTCTTCAACTCCCTGCTTTTGTAAATATCTCTTACTTTCACAACTGGAGAGCAAGTGCACAAACCACTCATAGAAATAAAAGTACAATGTTAAAAGAAAGCTTAACTTACTGGAATATAAACAAGCTACCTATGGAAATAGCTTTTCCCAGTGGGTTGTTTTTTTTTTTTTTTTTCCATTTTAGAGATCAGCCTTATTTGCTTGTTTAAAAACACAGCAATACAAAAAATGAAACCTGAATCCAATCAAGCTTCTAGATCTACCTGCTAATTTACTAGAATGTATCTAACAAAATCCTAACTGCGCAAACTCTTTAAGACAAATGACCCAGTTTGTTCAATGCAGAAAGTAAAAGGAAGAGAGACAGAGAGATGGACAGGGGGGCAATCTGTAGATTAAAAGAGACATAAGGGGGCACCTGGGTGGCTTAGCCATTAACCGGCTGCCTTTGGCTCAGGTCATGATCCCGGGGTCCTGGTACTGAGCCCCGCCTCGGACTCCTTGCTCAACAGGAGGCCTGCTTCTCCCTCTCCCAGTCCCCCTGCTTGTGTTCCCTCTCTCGCTACATCTCTCTCTCAAATAAATAAACAAATCTTTTTAAAAAAAATAAGAGACATAAGAAACATTATCAACTTTGACTTGGGATTCAGATGAAGTTCATGAAAACTATTAAAAAAATTTAGACAATTAAGAAAATTTCAATGACTGAACATTTAAAAATATTAAGGAATACTATTGCTAATTTGGGGGAACATGGTAATATTCTGTAATTTTGTTCATAAAATCTACATGTTTACTGACATTTTTCTTTTTATCCATTCTCTAACGTATCTAGTTAGAAAACAGCCCAAAATTAAGAATTATCCAAGAGAAAGAACAGACTTAAACAATAAACTGGGTTACAAGCCCAGAAACAACTTTGTATTTAAACAAACAGAACTCTGTTAGCTATGTTAGTAATGAGAGGACCTATGTACTGGTAAAGCAGGAGTAAAATATAGAATCTGTCCAGTCTAAAAGATGGACTCATCTAATGTGTTTTATGCAGAAATATAGATTCTGAAAGTGTGCTAATCCACAGCTATTTATAGTGTTATTTATTGTGTTTCTGATTTTCCTTCTACTTATTAAAATAGGGAAAACAGGATTAAACCCTACAGAACATTACCACATCTTAAGAAATCTATCAAGCTTGATAAATGAAACTGGGAGAAAAAGGAAAATCTGGAATAAAAGTAAATAAAAATCCAGTAAGATTTACTGAAAAATCCCAATACCCAAATGAATTTGAGTGTCTCTCACTGAAAAGAACAGGGCATCTTTTAAGAGCAGTAGGAAAGTGAGTGGACCTTGTCACAATCCTTCCAAATGGCTTAAGAATTCTTTAAAGTTCTTACACTGAATACAGAGAAACAATTTGTGTACTTGATGAGTACTATTACCAGTTAGTTCTTTAAATAGCAAGCAAGCCCTAAACTACCATATTAATGGTACAGATTAAATCTAACTTAAAAAAAAATCCAAATTTTAACATTTTTAGAACTTTAAAAATTTTTAGAACTTGAGATCCCCTCCCCTACTTTCAGAGATATGAAAATCAAGATTCACAGAAGCATACAAATCAAAACCACAATGAGATACCACCTCACACCAGTCAGAATGGCTAAAATTAGCAAGTCAGGAAATGACAGATGCTGGCGAGGATGCGGAGAAAGGGGAACCCTCCTACACTGTTGGTGGGAATGCAAGCTGGTGCAACCACTCTGGAAAAAAGCATGGAGGTTCCTCAAAAAGTTGAAAATAGAGCTACCTTATGACCCAGCAATTGCACTACTGGGTATTTACCCTAAAGATACAAACATAGTGATCCGAAGGGGCATGTGCACCCGAATGTTTATAGCAGCAATGTCCACAATAGCCAAACTATGGAAAGAACCTAGATGTCCATCAACAGATGAATGGATAAAGAAGATGTGGTATATATACACAATGGAATACTATGCAGCCATCAAAAGAAATGAAATCTTGCCATTTGCGACGACGTGGATGGAACTAGAGGGTATCATGCTTAGTGAAATCAGTCAATCGGAGAAAGACAACTATCTTATGATCTCCCTGATATGAGGGAAAGGAGATGCAACATGGGGGGTTAAGGGGGTAGGAGAAGAGTAAATGAAGCAAGATGGGATTGGGAGGGAGACAAACCATAAGTGACTCTTAATCTCACAAAACAAACTGAGGGCTGATGGGGGGAGGGGGGTTGGGGGGGGGGGGTTATGGACATTGGGGAGGGTATGTGTTATGGTGAGTGCTGTGAAGTGTGTAAACCTGGCAATTCACAGACCTGTACCCCTGGGGATAAAAATATATATTTATAAAAAATAAAATTAAAAAAAAAAAGAGTTGAAACTATAAAAATTCTAGAAGAAAAAAAAAGTTTTTAAACTCTCTGCCCCTTCCCCACATGCTCTAATAAATCTTTAAGATCTTAAAAAAAAAATTCATCAACACTTATGTAAGAACCAACCATAATCTTACCCAAGAAGAGATTTTTAACAAGTTCTAAGATTTTGTCATCTTAAGTGTAACTTATGTACTGCCTCTCAGTATTTACCCAAATTCTTACCTACTTAAAATTCTCACCTGAAATTCCGCTGTTTTGGGATTACTTATGTGGACTGCCTTTGTTGCAGAGATGTCCAAACCAAGTTTATCAGCAATATCTTCTTGGGAACACTAAAAAGTATATGCAAAATAAAGAAAAACAATGACTAAATTTAATATATAACGTATTTAATGCTGTAAGTCAACTTACAGTCTCATAGCAATGTAGGTTCTCTATATAAAGAGGTTAAAAATAACAACTATATCAACTAATTAGGGCTACAGCAAATACAATTTAACATTAACCGTTCTCTTACAAGTTCTATCTATGATACAGAGCAAAGTTTTTCCCATGTTGATGGTGGTATAACTGTATTTGGGCCCTTCCTAAGCTAGTCTCCCATTTACCTTACCAGTCTAGTTTCTTACAGTTAACTATCCATTCCCTGAATCTTACACTCTTCCTTATGTTCACCAGAAATGTCTCAGGGTGCCTGGGTGGCTCAATGGGTTAAGCATCTCCCTTCAGCACAGGTCACGATCCTAGGGTCCTAGAATCAGGCCCTGCGTTGGGCTCTCTGCTCCGCAGGAGTCGGCTTCTCCCTCTCCCTACCACTCTTCCTGCCTGTACTCTCTGTGTCAAATAAATAAATAAAATCTATTTTTTTTTAATTTAAAGATTTTGAGAAACAGAGTGAGAGAGAGTTTGAGCAGAGGGAGAGAGGGAGAAGTAGACTTCCCGCTGAGCAGGGAGCCAGATGCAGGACTCCATCCCAGGACCCTGGGATCATGACCTGAGTCAAAGGCAGATGTGTAACTGACTGAGCCACTCAGGTGCCCCAAAGAAAATCTGGGAGGGGGAGAGGGGAGGAAAGAAGGAATATCCTCTCCTCCCTACCTGCTCTCATCCCCCAAGGCTCTACTTAAATGACAGCTCTACACTTCCATAAAAATATTCCTAATTCTGTCAATTCACTCTCCCCCACCTTGGTGTTCCTATGGCTTTGATTACCATTGTAATCCCTGCTAAATCCATACTGACTTGTGGTAGAACAGTAAGAATAAGAGCAGAACTCAAGTGGCCTGAATTCTGCCCAACATTCTTTCTACTTGACCATTTAATTTCTGTGCTTAGGTGCTTGATAAAGCTCTGAGCAGTAAACTCCTAAGCACTCTCGCTCCGAAAAGAAAAAAATACCTGTTGCACTCACAACTAGGATGACTGACAGAAGTTATGAAAATAAAACTATTAGATGCATCACATCTAATAAATGATTAACTAAGTAATGCAAATAAAGTACCTGCCACAAACTAAGTGCTCAAGAAAATATTAACAATGATGATTAATAAATACTAAGAATTATCACATATATTAATGCTAACTGTTGCAAAGGAGTTAAAACAAAATGAAAACTGATGGGGCGCCTGGGTGGCTCAGTGGGTTAAAGCCTCTGCCTTCGGCTCAGGTCATGATCCCAGGGTCCTGGGATGGAGCCCCATGTCAGCCTCCTCTGCTCAGTGGGGAGCCTGCTTCCCCCCCACCCTCTCTGCCTGCCTCTCTGCCTACTTGTGAGCTCTCTGTCAAATAAATAAATAAAATCTTTAAAAAAAAAAATGAAAAATGATGTACCATCAGATTACTGAAAAATTTTCCAACATTAGGTCACGTTGCCTACTGCACTATTTTACAAAGTGGCCTTCGAGGACTAGTCTGCATTTCTTAGAGAAACACACACATACACAGTTTAGATTTTAGGTCAATGCCAGCTCTAATGATTCTTGCCATGCTTTCTTGGGAAGGATACTAAATCACATCCAGGTAGAGAACAAAAGAGCTCCCTGATCTGCCACAGCTGTAGAGGCGGAGAATGGTGGCAGGCACGCTGGAAATAACCAGATTTTTCTCCTCAGAATGAGGAGTTTTTTAACAAGATATATTGTGATTAATTAGGAAATGCAATTTAAATGATGCAATCAACTCTCAAACAGAAGTAGTACTGTGGGTGTAGAAGAAAGGTTGTTCCACAAACATATGGCAGTGGAGGAATCTGAGTGGCCTTATACTTCATCATGACAATAAAAGATAAGGGACAGATATTAGAAGCAGTTCGAAATCAAGGGAACCTGAAGTGGCAGTAGCTAGTAAAAAATATAAATATTTTTTTCAATGTTAATGTGTTTAAAGTATTAGAAAAATATAATAAGTAAATGAAGCCCATTGATTTTTATGAATATTCTTGTACTAAGGCTAAAGTAGATATTTAGTTTTAAAAGTGAGTTAATTTAGGGGTGCCTGGGTGGCTCAGTGGGTTAAGGCCTCCGCCTTCAGCTCAGGTCATGGTCCCAGGATCCTGGGATGGAGCCCCACATTGGGCTCTCTGCTCAGCCTGCTTCCCTTCCTCTCTCTCTGCCTGCTGCTCTGCCTACTTGTGATCTCTCTCTGTCAAATAAATGAATAAAATCTTTAAAAAAAAAAGTGAGTTAATTTAAAATATTACAACTAGTATGCAGACAGTAAAAATCATAATGATGAAAACAATTACTTGCATTTGGAAAAATCAAGGGCTAGGCTTTAGACAAAGCTGTTTCATGAAAAACTAGATATAAGGCACAGAGATATTTAGGTTTGCTAATCATGTCACATAAATACCTCTGACACTGAAACTCCTGTAAGAAAACTGTCATTACATATTTGAAGCTCTAATACCTCATTCCTTCCCCCGCCAGTGACAATGTGTGTTGAGCTTACGGGACAGCTGAACAGACTGTTTCTGGCATCCCTAGTGGACAGTACAATCACGGGCCCGAGGTGCACATAGGCCTGGGCTGGAATCCTGCCCCACAGCTGATTGGCTGTATGGAATGGGACAAGTTACCTAAATTACCTGCTGTGTAAGACAGAAACACCTACTTCAGAGCACTGCACAGAGAGGGAATCACACGCAGAAAGGCCTGGACACAGGATAAACTCCCTGCAGAGCAGCCCTGGTCAGGCAGAGTATGTGCTCCCCTGAGACACATGGGGCTACCCACAGTTACAGGCTTAAAACTCACTACTTCTATAAAAGGGCAGAGAAATACACAGGCCAAAGTCTGAACCACAGTTAGTTCTGGGGAGGAAAACAGGGTTGAAATCTGAGGGGAAACAGAGGGGAATAGTCATGGTTCACGCTACATGGTTCTTTCTGTACACCTTGAAGCCTTTCAGATCAATCCTATGTCACTTAATTTTTAAAAACGAAATATATTCTCAATACTTTTTTTTGTATTTCATTGATGTTCACGACTGTATAAGTATATGCATAGATGAATGACCTATGCTATAAACTGAGCATACACAGGCCGAGACAACAGAAAAGCACTGCTCTAAAAGCCAGAAGGCTAGGATTCTGGTCCTGGTGCTCCTGCTGTCTGTGTACACTTCATTAGGTACTTATCCTGTTGACTTCAGGCTTCTTCACTCCTACAGTGCCTGGCATACAACAGATGCTCTATAAATGCAGAATAAAGAACTCCTGAGTCAAAAAAAAGGACAATGCTGAGCTAGAAAATCTGTAAGGTTCCTTCTGAGGTTAGCATCCTGTGAATGACAAATACTCAATAAAGGGAGAGAGGCTGCCTCTCCTTTCCAACGACCCTCTCCCCCACCAAACTGGTAGTAATTAACCCCCACTACTGAGCTCTCTGTGACTAGGAGATGGAGAAGTCTTTCTGGAGTTGAGCTGGGGGTTGAAAATGAAGTCATTTTGTTTTTGTTTGGTTTTGGTTTTCACCCTCCACCATTAACCTGACACCTACCTGAAGACTCCAAAACTACACAGTGTAGGCACCACACAAATGCTCAGCAAGGGAAGAGGAAACTATAAACGGCACAGACCTTTTATTCTTTTCAAATGGTCAATCTGGTGGGGGGGGAAGGGCATTTCCTTCTATTTTGTAATAAAATTCATTTCCTAATTCAGGCCTTTTATGTCAGCTTTCCAAAGCAAAGCAAATGATGTGAACATGCTCAAAGAAAAAGTTTAATGTGGAACAGTCCACAAATCCTTAACTAGGGCGGCATCTAGTGGGCATAGATACAACCAAATTAAGACTAAACATTCCAACTTAATCAATTTGATTATGAAATCTGTTGTGAACTCAACCCTCAACACTTCCATAAAAGTACAAACTACACTGTTATGTGTCATTTAAGACTTTTGTCCTTCAAGATATTCTGTGACTGAAAAAAAAACTTTTTACTAGACTGTACAATCTTAAGTAAAAAAAAAAAAGGTTATTCGTCTAGAACTTGGAAATTTTAGCAGTCTAGATTTTATAAATTCATGTAAGGAATCAGAGTACAATACTTCAGAGATTCAGTGTCAATAATCAGCCGCAGAGACGGCACATGAAACATACCAGGGCAAAGGTAAGTGCTTCCGTGAATCCAGCAGCTGCCATGTCATGTCTTAGGAGTTCTGTGAGCTTATTAAGAGGAAACTGAAAAAAAAAAAAAAGATAGTTAACTTTACTCCACTTCAGTAAAATTTCCTACAACAAAAGGTTTATACAGAACAGGTCATTAAAGGGCAACCCCCCTTCCATCCTTACTAATACTGCTAGCACCACCACTTCGCCACCCACCCCACCCACTGCCTCACTACCCCAATACTCCAACACACATGCACTAACCCCCCACTTCACCTCTCCCACAACGAACTTCTGCCTACAGGCCAGGTTGAAAAAATGAATCTCCCAGTTCAAGAGTCAGAAGAGCTCCAAACTCAAAACCTGTCTTTCTTCAAATACTAGTCATCACAGGTTTTAAACTTACTCTAATCCACTGGGCATCTGTTTTGTATCCCCCAAATGCCTCTCACAGCACAGCATGTCCAAATGCTATGTGCTGTTTTTCTCGAAGCCTTCCTGGCATTCAATAATCAGTTTCTAACAACAAGGAGTATTTATTTAAGGGTACGATCTTACTTGATTAGCTATGGTGTAGGTTTTTGGAAGCGTCATCTGAATGTTGTTATATCCATAGGCAATAGCTGCGTCTTCTACAATATCACATGCATGGATAATGTCAGCTCTGGTTGGAGGGATTTCGATCTCAATCTGATTCCCATCACCTATTACTTCTGACTTTAAATACATCCTGGTTAGAAGCTTGGCAATATTTTCTGGAGTTTCTCTGAAATAGAAATGTACATTCCATAAACATCACTGGATTACTTAAAATGTGCTCATATTTTGTTTTAAAATATTCTATTATCTGAAATATCACCTTCCTTTCGGAATTCCATGAGACACCAGACAGCCTAACAGATGATTTATTATCATTTACTCACTCTGAAAAGATACCAAAACCCTCTCTAAGCATAAGCATTCTTTCAGGAAAAATTAGTCTTGTGGGTACTTCATTCTTGAATTTTCTCCAACAGTAAACAAATGTTTTCAAAGCATACCTGATTCCAACTTTTTTGTTAATTAGATCAGCTCTCACTATCTCCTTTCGGTAAGCCAGTTCCTTTAAAGAGAAAAAGTTTGAGAAGCTTAAGTGAGTCCCTGTCAACTGCAGCATTAGGCTCTAACTTTACGTCTCGTTGTGGCAGTTTCACTGCCCTCCCAAAAAAACAGTTGTTAAAGAGAGACACTGAAAATAAATGTAAAGTTTCAAAACATTACAGAGCAGTAAATCTGCTACAACAGGCTCATAACTGAACATTCTACTTGCTAGACAACTGGAACTGCTCAGAATAGAAAATGCCCAACACTTTTATCTCAGATGGCCAATCACCATTCTCTGCAGTAAAAGCCTGGTACATTACATCATTTCTAAGATGCTTATAAATCCTAGGATTTGCAGTCTCCTCGCAAGCAAGCAGGTGTTTATGACCAAGAAAGAAAAATTCAAATATCACCATTCAAATATCTCCATGTACTATCAACTATCACCATTATACTAAGCCCAAGTATTACGAAGAAATTCCTTTCTTGTCATTTATCCAGGTGGGGGAACACCACCAGGCCCCCAGGCCATCCTAGCTATCATCAATCTGCTCCAGGAGATGGCAGGACTGGGAGCAGCTCATATATTGGTACTCTCCTTCAAACAGTATATAGTTTTACCACGTTAGGTAGGAACAAACATGTAAAAAACCCAGGCTTTTGAGCACCTTTGCAAACATATCTATGAATGTTTCTTATCATTATATTACTCTCAAAGGTATATCTACCACTGGCAAAAAGGCTATAAATCTAAAAATCTGATTGGACTCAAGTAAGTACAGACCAGAGCCTTGCCATTCAAAATGCAACTCTCAGGCAGAAGTATCATCATCACCCAAGTACCTCTTAGAAGTGCAGGCTCTAGAGCTGGTAGCCGTGACACTGGACTTACTCAATCTGGAACTAAAGGTTATTAAGATCCTGAGGCGATGTGACTGCTCATTAGGGTTCAGGAAGTGCAAAACTAGCTAATGGAAAAAAAAGCTAATAACTGCAACAGAAACAAACCTTTACTGAGCAGTTAACCATGAAAAAAACACTTTCAGATAATCAATCTTAACCCTCACAACAAATACTATTAGATTCCTTATCAGTGAAGTGAGAACAGTAGTAGATGAGTAACTATTCTCAAGTCCCAGCAATGATAAGCTGCTGGGCTCTAGTGCTTACAAAAATGCTTGTCAGATAATAAACACTCCATATGCAGTTAAAGAGTAAATGCATAAAGTAACAAATGAACAAATTAATGAATTAACAAGTTCAGGCAGCCTAATTCTGAAGCTCACACCATTAACCATTCCTCTCTGACTACCTTCCACTTCTCTCCTCTGGTCCTCTTATTCCAAAGTCCATTCTTTTATATGAAATAACAGAAGACTAGGAAAGAACTATCAAAGTACTTAGAAAAATAAACTATTTCATGAGAGGAAGTATCAGTTCCTCAGAGGATCATTCTCTTCTGGGAGACAACCTGAGAAGAGCTGTTCTAATCTACGTTCAGAAGAAAACAGCTTAACAAATGACAACAATGATACAATACTCCTTTTCAGAAATCCCACCATTTCAGATTTATGAAAGCTCTTTATAATGCAAACGATTTCAAGGAATTATCTACTTGAGAAAAGTGAACCAAACTTTAAGATATCTCTTTCCTCCCCAAAGTACATATTTCACTTCTATTAATAGTTGACAATTCTTCATATCAAAAAGAAAAAAACTTTTCTCAAATCAGACATCATTTTAAAATAGACTAAAAAGCTATCTCTGGCTAATCCCAACTACTACTGTGGTATAGATGACCGCATTCTTCCCTTCCCTGCTGCACCCAAAGCCTTACAATGAGGTACCTCAGGTCCTCAAATTGGGAAATGGGAGTCTATTTCGTCCTCCTTTGAATCTAGCAAAGTGACTGACCGAGGCCAACAGGACACCATGCTTAAAAAGACTTAAGCACTGGACTTGCTCTTGTGCTGTTGGGAATCCTGCAACCACCACCATGTAACAAAGACCAAGCTAGCCTGCTGGATGATGACAGACACTTGACCTGGTAACTCTAAGGGTAAGCAGACTTGTGAGTGAGGCTATCTATCCCAGGTCACCTAGATGCTAGTTTACCAACTGGCTGATTACACAGAAGCAAGCCCAAGAGAGGTCAGCCATGCCACCCAGACCAGAACTACCCAGCTGACCCACAGAATCATGATAAGCAAATCACTGTTGTTTATAAAATCACTAAGTCTTGAGGTATCAGTCTATCATGTAACAAAAACTAACAAACACTACAAATTTTTTTAAAGCAGAGACTGCCTATAATTTCAATTAAGTTTTCTATAGCTATACACTTGTTTTGAATTATAATCAATATTCTAGAATAAAGTATGATGCTAAATGCTCATGTTTTCAGGAAGGGAAAGGTTTTGATCTTGGCAGGTTTTATCTACTTTAAAAACTATTTAAAAGAGTAGAAATAGGGGGCGTCTGGGTGGCTCAGTGCGTTAAAGCCTCTGCCTTTGGCTCAGGTTGTGATCCCAGGGTCCTGGGATCAAGCCCCACACTGGGCTCTCTGCTCAACGGGGAGCCTGCTTCCCCCTCTCTCTCTGCCTGCCTCTCTGCCTACTTGGGATCTCTGTCAAATAAATAAATAAAATCTTAAAAAAAAAAAAAAAAAAAAAAAAAAGAGTAGAAACTATTCCAGGCTATGATTCACTTCTTAAGCAATAGAGGAACAGTGAAAAAAATCCAAAGAGCTAAAAAAATGACCTCACTTCATTTGCAACTAAATGATTAACACAGTCATATGCTGGAACAGCCATCTTTATATTAATAAAATCATCTTAGGGGAAGAAAAAAATCCGATTAAACAATGCTGTTTTTCTTGGGTTTTTTTGTTTGTTGGTTGGTTTTTAACCAAGATTCCATGTCTTGACAATAATTCTGCTTACTACTTAGTCCTGTTAATACATCTGGAATCATTGGTTACAATAATGGCTCTTCAGCGACTGTTAATTCAAGTGTGAACAGACTAATTCGGTTGGGAGGGCTGAGTAATCTAAAAAGGGGGGAGACTAAATTACCCAGTAAACAAATTAATAGGAGAATAAATCAGAACCTGCACCCCAATGTTTATAACAGCAATGTCCACAATAGCCAAACTATGGAAAGAGATGTCCATAGATGTCCATCAACAGATGGGTAAAGAAGATGTTATCACGCATACGCGCGCGCGCACACACACACACACACACACACACACACACACACTGGAATACTACTCAGCCATCAAAAAATGAAACTCTGCCATTTGCAACAACGTGGATGGAACTAGAGGGTATTATGCTAAGCGCAGTAAGTCAGAGAAAGACACTTATGATCTCACTCATATGGAACTGAAGAAGCAAAACAAAGGATCATAGGGGAAGGGAAGGAAAAATAAAACAAGACAAAAATCAGAGAGGGAGACAAACCACAAGAGACTCTTAACCACAGGAAACGAACTGAGGGTTGCTGGAGGGGTGGGGGGTGGAGGGATGCGATAACTAGGTGATGGACTTTAAGGAGGGCATATGATGTAATGAACACTGGGTGTTATTTAAGACTGATTTAATCACTGAACTCTACCTCTGAAACTAATAAAATACTCTATGTTAATTAATTGAATTTAAGTTTTAAAAAATAAAATAAGGGACGCCTGGGTGGCTCAGTTGGTTAAGCGGCTGCCTTCGGCTCAGGTCATGATCCCAGCGTCCTGGGATCGAGTCCCACATAGGGCTCCTTGCTTGGCAGGGAGCCTGCTTCTCCCTCTGCCTCTACCTGCCACTCTGTCTGCCTGTGCTCGCTCTTGCTTCTCTCTCTATGTCAAATAAATAAATAAAATATTTTTTAAAAATAAATAAATAAATAAATAATAAATAATAAAATAAAAAGAGTAAGTCAGAGGAATTACGGCCATCTAATAAAGTGGTATAATGGAGTACATTGGAGCTGAAGCCAGACTATCACCTAGCTCTACCACTAATAGTAACAGGCAAGCTATTTAACATCTCAAGGTCTCTATCTCCATCCGGGAAAAGGCCAAATAGCACCCACCATCATAGGGTTAATGTGAGGATTAAATCCACATAATACACATATTATCCCTGGCATGTGGGTGGATGGATGGACAAACATACAACCAGCACTCTATAACCATTATTATTACTAGTATTATCATCAAATCCACTTCTTAAATACTTACTGGAAAGGTATAGGATTTTCCATTAGGAAAAACGACCTCAGCAGCTTCAACCCTTAAAAAAAAAAAAAAAAAAAAAAAAAAAAGTCCGGAAATATTAAAAACAAAAAGGGCCATAAATTCTAGAAATGTGTATGGTTAACAAGTCTCTCACTTATTGTACAACAGTAACCTCAACACACTCAATATACACTCGCTCCAACACTACTGCCTGGATTAATCCTCCTAATCACGACCCCACCCTACTGTTCCATTCCCCGTGGCTCCCACATCTCTTCAGACAGCACACATCTAACGTTTACTTCTCAGTGCGACAAAGCATGCATCCTCTATTACTCCTTGACAGTATGGATATACACAATCCAGGCTCTACCAGGGTGCCGTGTTACACCATGAAAGCTGACTACGCAACCAGTAATAGGCAAATCAATTTAAAAAACGGACCCTGCCACACAATTTCAGTCCTGCACTCTGCAGTAATACTGCTATTTTGAATTATAATTAACATTCTATAATAAACTATGATGCCAGTACACAGCAAGGACGATTTAGTGAAATCTTTTAAATTAATTTTTAATTAATTTAATTTTTAAAAAAGCTTTGGAAAAAATACAGTAATCCTATTGATTTTAAACAGTTATGCATAGGTCTTAGCCCCATTCCCCCACCCCCGGCAAAGAGAGGATATGTTCTATTCACAGGAGCCACATTTTTCATCTTTATATTCAATATAAGGCCCTAGTGCTTTGCCTTCAGAATAACAGGCTTCAATAAAGTTGTCAAACTTACGTAAATTGATTCTCACAATATTCACTGAACATGGTGACAATAACATCAAGAACTATTTTTGCCTGCAAAAAAGAAAAGAGAAAAATATTGTAATCTAAAAATACATTCTCTTCACTCAGATGGAAAATTTAGTCCTCCAACATCTAAAAATGAAACATATATACACATTCTAAAAAAGGAGTGGAATAAAAACTTGTGGGGGGCGCCTGGGTGGCTCAGTGGGTTAAAGCCTCTGCCTTCGGCTCAGGTCATGATCCCAGGGTCCTGGGATCGAGCCCTGCATCGGGCTCTCTGCTCAGTGGGGAGCCTGCTTCCACCTCTCTCTCTCTGCCTGCCTCTCAGCCTACTTGTGATCTCTGTCTGTCAAATAAATAAATAAAAAAAATCTTAAAAAAAAAAACTTGTGGGCTTAAGTAGCCTAGCCTTATCTGCAGGTGGTCTGCATTTATTCGGTTCCCTGAGAGTTAACAATCCATGACTGAAACAAATCATTTACTTCCCCTGGCCCTCTCCCTTGGGCTCACCAAGTTTCAAGAGAGACAAATGGCTGACTATGGGAGTAGACCTTATCAATCTCCTAGATCTCTGCAGCCAGTTGCAGGACTCCTGGCTCAGCCACTTACTCATAATCTGACATTGGGCAAGTTACTTACCATCTTTGTACTTCAGCATCTTCATCTGTTAAGTAGAGATTATAAACATTTCTATATCCCATTTGGTTATTATGAGATTTAAATGTATTAATATATGAGCAATGCCTAGCAAAACTGGAAGGACCGTATAGATTTGTTCAAGTTTTTAATTGGAAACATATTCTTGGGAAAAAACACAATAACCTTAGCTGGATATATATAGGGTTTGCTTTTATATATACATCACTGTTTAAATATAAGCTTCAGGAAAGGTATCTAAGGTCTGTCAATGTATGAATTTTTTAAAAATTTGTAAATAGTATATGCTATATTATTCTAGCATTTCTAAAGTCAAGTATGGCCCATAACAGTTGTAAATGAAATACCTTACAATGGTGTCCAATGCCATAAGATGTACTGAATGCCATTTATGGCCCTATTTCTACAGGCCAACCTTTTGCCATTCAAGCTTATCTGATTAATTTGCTTAATTGCCCCATTACCCTATGCCTTAACATGTATAAAGAAATCTTATGCCATTTAAAAAAAAAAAAAAAAAGCTCATAGCAATACAATCCAATATAGGTAGTTACTAAATGTGAGGGAACCAGTATTCTACATATTCTAGGTATCATCGTGTATACAAACCTTTTATCAATTTGCCAAACAACACTTATTTATAAGCCACTTCATTTTTAAACATTTATTACCAAGAACACAAAGGTAACAAATTTCTCAGCATTTAAATTAAGCCAACTAAGATAAACAATGGATAAAACACTTATTCCATTCTCAGTTTTACAGTTAGGTATATGGCGAATTCTCCCACTAGAGTGAGTTCCTTCAAGTCAAGAAACATGAAACTCATTAAATGCACAGCACTGGAAAGACAGAAGTGATCGTTAAAGATTTGTTGATTAAATGAACACACCATAACCAAAGTACAGAATATCTGTATCTTTCTAATTTTCTAAATTTCTGAAATATGTTCCCACCTACAAAACACTTTAAAATTCAGCCATCTAGTCTTGGCCCACAACTAAAATGTCCTGTCTGACAGTACAAAAGTGGAATTAGAGTTTTATTTACCTTAGTGAAATCAGTTCCTGTGCATTCAATAAATACATTTCTAGTATTTACAGTTATTTTAGAATGATTTCCTACAATAAACACAAAATAACACAGTTTCAGAAACATAGGTACACTAAAAAAGTTCTCCAAAACAGAAACGACATTTTCACTTAGAGTACCATATAAATGGACATCTCAGAGATAAGGTGATAATGCAACATGTATTTTAAGCCCCCACTACAAGTGGGAGAATACTGCATTCAGTGTGTCAGAGTTGCTCTGCCCAGCCTAACAAGAGACTGTCTTATCTCCTCTCCACCACAACCCTATGACAGAGCTAGAGACAGATCTAAGACTCAGAGCTTCAGCTCACTAATCCTGATTCATAGTCTATTAAGCAGCAAGGCTACACTCTGGGTCTGGGTCTGGCTACTCCAAAGCTCAGGTTCTGAACCCCTGTTAACAACTCGAGTTCAACCTTAAGAAGTTAGAGACTCTTCCCATCATGAATCAACTAAACCCCCTTCTCACCTCCAGAGGGTCAACATCTATGGCTATGACATTATTAAATTTTGTAAATACATGCAAGTTGCCTCCTCAAATGAGCCTTCAGAAAGGACGTAAGAAGGTAAAATTCAGTTTAAAAGTTTTAACTATAAAATAGCAGGCAAGGCAGGATTTGAGTTTAACCAAGTTGAATCATGGGCTAAAACCAAAAATATCAATGCTCTTTGGAGGAATATAACAGAATCCAGAGAGTGGCACCAGTAAATATCTATGTACTTATAAATATTTATACATTTAAAAGTTATATAAAAATCACAAGTAAACTGTTAATAAAAAGAACTACTACAATAAAATCTACAAAAACCAGAAATTCCAGATTAAGATTTATCTGACTTGATTGAGCCAAGTCTAGAATTCAATTCTTACAGAAATGTTGAAGGATAAGAGAAAAAAAAATCTGATGCTTAAGAAATAACTCACCATTGATAATCGGAGGCATTGAAAGGATGACACCATTGCTATCATAGATAACTGGGTACAGGGGTTTATTTTCAATGATATGTAAATAATGTTTAAGGTGGTTGTCAGTCTGAAAAAAAAAAAATTAATTTTCTATTTCTAAAGCTAATTAGTTCATATACCTATCTAGTACAAAAAAGGGGAAAAGTTAGAAAAACAATAAAACAGCCCCATATTACAGAAAGTCCTAGATTTGTAAGATTTCCTAAATATCTTAATATCCTTATATACTTCATCTCCTACTGGGCAGAGATGAGAACACAGCCAAGTCATTTTCCAAGAATGAAAATAAATTTGCACTGGTAAGTCTGACTCGTCTCAAGGAAAACACAAACCATCACAAAACTGTTTATGGAAACAGGAAGAACACACTGGCAAATCAGGCCAAGGATAAAAACTTTTTTTTTTCGGAATGATACAACACTACTTTTATTTTTTAAGCACCATTAAGTGACTATGCAATCATTTTAATTGCTGTAATCTAAAATGCTAAATAGTAGAATACAGACACATTGTAATACCAGTTCCCACCAAAAAAACTACTTAAATCTTGTTCTTTATACTGTGCATGTGTTATAATTATACCCACATATGAATATTATAATGTGACATATTCTACTTCAGTGGTTCTCAATTCCAGATGTACATTAAAATCATCCAAGGGGTTTAAGAAGTAATGAAACTATGTCCAGGCCCCACTCTACATCAAATGGATTGGTAGCTATTGACTGGAGCACAGATATGGTTTTTAAAATGTACTCATTTACATCTCCCGAATTCCAAGACCTGACTTTGAAGAAATTTTCTTGATTTATGGAGAGCTATTTGCATAATATGAAAAAAAAATCTACCTTGTATATGTTCATCAGTTCACAGGCTGTATACTCCTTGGTCTTATTCAGAGGCTTGAATTTGATATCTGAAGGTCGCTTTGCAGTGTATGTAAAAGGGCCTGACAAAGTGTCCAAATCATGGGTACCAATAGCAACCAAGGCTCTTTTCCTAAATGTTGAGGGAGAGAGAAAAAAAGAGACCAAAAAAAAAAAAAAAAAAAAGATTTTTTTTGACACTTCCCTAAAATAGCCTGCTGCTATAAAGCAACTTTAGAAGAGTATAAGGAACACATTCTCACAGAATTGAAAGTAATGCGAAATTCTAAAAGCTGTTCAAAACACATTATTTCAGTAGCTACAGTAAATTCCTTGCCACTATGCTTTCCCAAGTACTGTGTTAACTAGGACATTTTCCAAGTGAACATTCCCTTTTTTTAACCCATTTCCTCTCAGAGTCCTCAAGTAAACAAATGTTTTATTAGAATAAGCTACCAAATTGCTCTGTTTTTTGGTTTTTGTGTATTTTCCTAAATTTTCTGTCACAAAGCTGTATTACTTTAATCATAGAAAAAAATAACTGAATTACACTTAAAATTTAATATGTAAGGGAAGTTCAAAAGCTATTAATTTCATTTGTTCTACAGTTTATGTGCAAAAGAATTTAAGGTAATTTTAGGAGCTTATAGCAAGTTAAGATTAGGGAGAAAGAAAGAGTAGGGATACAAAACAGAGCCAGGAACAGTGTTAATACCAAGAATCTAAAGGCCTACCGTCTCAGCATACAGGGTCACAAATTTTGCTCTAAGCTTTCTAAAAGATAATTCAAAAAGAAACTTGGCCAGAATTTATGGCATTCTTAAGATTTCTTAGAATTAGTTTTAGATGTATGTACAAATATATTTGAGTATTTATGCTTAAATGCATATGTATATATGCAAATAAAATACATCAGTAATCAAGGATTTTATTGAAGTCCATATTACATGAATTATGAAATAGTTTTCAAAATTTGTAAGAAATAATTTTTAGTCATCCTTCAAGACTGGTAACAAGAACTTTAATAAATATGATTAACTCAAAAAAATTGTTAACGAGCATGAAAGTGTTACTCAATGATTTACCTACTTACAGAAGATAACTCCAGAAATACCAGAGGTTGAAATATACAGTTAAGTGTAGCTAAATTAACAACTGATGAAACCACAAGTAAGAAGGTCCATGTTTTGTTTTTTTAAAGATAGTTATGGTCCCTCTTAATCCTAAAAGAGTACTCCCACAAAAGGTCACTAAATTCCAATTTCAAACCAATTACAAAAATAAATTCTAGATGAATCAAAGAGCTATGCATTTTGAAAAAACAAGACACAAATGTACATATACACCCAGAAGAAACCACAAAAACTATTTAAAGAAAATACAGGACAACAATGTGTAGAACTGGAGGACACCCCTTGACACAAAATAAAAAAGTCATAGGAAGACTGATAAATGGGACTATCTAAACTGGAAACTTTATATAGCCAAAGACCCCAAAAGTCAAGACAGACTGAGAAGAGACTTGTAATTTACATACAGAAAAAGATTAATATCCCAGACATATGAAAATACTCAAACTAAAAAGTCAGAAATCAAAATTTTAGCTATCATATTGGCAAAAATTTTAAAGTCTTGCTGTGAAAAAGCAGGACAAAGCTGAAAGAACTGAACACTCTGCTGTTGCCAACTTCAGAGATCTTGCCTAGCCAAGTGTTTCAAGTTTGAGTCTAGCTAAGTACTCAAGAGTCTCTGCCTGTAAGACAAAAACCAGTCCTCAGAAAATCAAAAGCCTTATCCATTACATAACATTCTATGTGCAATCAAAAATGCGGTGGACATGAGGGGCACCTGGTTGGCTCAGTCAGGAGAGTATGCAACTTTTGGTCTTAGAGTCCTAAGGTCAAGCCCCACAATGGATGTAGAGATTGCTTAAATAGCTTTTTTTTTTTTTTTTTAAAAGCAGCGGGCATGAGAACAGGGAAATGGGATTTCTTCTCCAGACAAAACCAGTCCATACAATCCAATGCTAAAATGACCCAGATTTTTAAATCACCACACAAATTTTAAAGTTCTTACCACAAAAAATATCTGAAAATTATGGGGGAAAATATGCACATAATGAACAGATGAGGAAGTAACAGCACAAAAAGAAACTTGTAAAAAGAAACCAAATGGATTCTAAGATGCAAAGTAAAATAACTGAAGTAAAAATTCATTGGCCACTTCTAGCCGAGATGGAGTAATAGACTAGATTTACGCTCTTGCCCAAAACCACCACAAAGGGGCAAAATACAGCAAACAGTTTCATGGGTGGCGCTGGACATCAGGCAATGAAGGGTAGCAATCTCTGACAGGAAGGAAATAAATGAAGTAAGCTCCCACAACTGCCCCAGCTTACTGCTTGGAGGGGTTTCCACGTTGTAAGGAAAGAAGGACAAGAGTGGAGATCAGCAGACTCCCTGAGTTGAGAAACCTAACTGAATTTCTAAGGAGACCCAAGACAGCGGGGGTTCACTGGAAATGATACTGAAGTGGACAGAGCTATGAGAACTCTGGAGACCTGCAGAGGTTCCCCTACCCCACTACAAGTGTTTGGCTGAGTACTGATCAGTGCACACATGTGAAGAAATAGACTCATCGGAGGAACAGTGTTCTTACAGACTGAAAACCTCACTACTTCATGTGGGAATGGATCAAGTAGGCAGAAGGGTCTTGCCTCAGTATTAGCAATTAGCCCTACAAAGAACAGTGCTTAATCAATGGAGAGGGGAAAAGAGCCAATAAAACCAAAACCTGGCTCTTTGAAAAGATCAATTTATTGATAAACCTCTAGCCACCCTCCCCGATCAAGGGAAAAAAAGACAAGTGAAAAAGGTGGTATCACTACAGATACTCAATATTAAATAAGAGAACACTGTGAACAACTTTATGCCAATACATTTGCTAATGAAAACAAAAGGCATATATTCCTTGAAAAACACAAGTTTCCAAAGCACATGCAAGAGGTTATTTAGGATTTACTGACAGATAAGGACTCTGGCACACCAGGGATTTATTTCTACCCTTTCAAAAAGCTCATGACTTCCAGAAATACCAAATAACAGAGCTTAAAGCTGAGTAAGATGAGGAAACACCTTCCAATTTAGATAAAAATAGATTCTTCAAATAAACTATGTTCAAAATAGATAATCGGCCTCAACCACTTACTAGCTTGTCAGAAATCTATTTTGTTCTTCATCTGAGATTATATTTAAATTCTTACTGTTTTGCTTAGTAATTAGTAAGCTAACAAATAGACTATATAAAAGAACAAGAATAAATATTATTTAGAATCTGAAAAAGCTTCTTTTACCACATTAAGCGAAGATGTCTCTGGAAATAGAGACCTACTGGTATTTTATTTTTAAAACATTCCACCCCAGAAGAAAAAAATCCAAGGTCTCCTCCAACCCTGTCCCTAGCCCATTACTTACATAGAGGACTTTTCAATCTTGTTTACCAAACTGCAATTACTACAATTAATAAAAATTTTCTATTTTTATTCAAGATATCTATAACCGTTAATCATAACTTTTGATCAGCCTGAGATAGGCTGATGTACTTCAGGACCAATAAAAAAAAAAAAAAACTTGACATGTTAGTTAAAGCTTAATGTTTATCAGTACATCTATAATTTCCATCAGGATTTCTTAAATAATGAAGTTAGTTCAAAGACTCCCATTGTTACCTTCCCCGACCTTTAGGAGTTCAGGAATTATTATGTTTGAAGATCACTGCATTAAAAGGAGCAGGTGAGAAATGATGGATAGTAAGGTCAAATAGGAGTAAGAAAATACAGTTATTTGAAAGTCTTAAGTTTCATCTGTAAATTTATAATTATAATCAAAAAGTGACATCAAACGAAAAATTTTTCCATTTTTTAAAATGACAGGTCATACTTCAACTACCATCATTTAACATTTAGTGGTATAATCCACTACTAATAATTTGAACCAAACAACAAAAACACGAACATAAAAACCAAGAAAATCTCTAAGACAAGAGATTTCTTGTCTATGTGGTATTCCAAATAGAGCTCTTATTTTTCCATGCATGCACTGTTCAGTAACAGTAACAGATAGCTATCTGGTAAAATGTAAACTTACTTAAATTAGTTACGCAAATTTAAACTGTTATTCTCACATATTAACTTAGAAATGCTCTGAAAAATCCGTAGAGAAAGAAAGGAAAGAGAGAGAAATAGAAAGGTAAAAAGGAAAAAGAGAGGGGAAAGGACAGAGGAAGGCAAGGAGGAAAGAAAATGCAACTACAAACCTGCAAATGTTCTGATGTAATTTCTCCTGGAGTTCAATGAAACTGTCATATCGATCTTTAGTGAACTTTATATTTCGGAGAACTGCTGCCACAGCATAAGGACGTATTTTAGCTGTCTGAAGTTCATTGTATGATTAGAAATTGTCCATACTATCACAAATTCACAAACAAGCATATATATTTCATTCAAAGATATAGTGGTCACAAGAGACAAAGTTAACTTTCTCGTGGAATGTACATTTCAGTAAAAATTTCTGAATATTTACTAAGCAGAAAAAATTAACCTGTTAAGGTTAACCTGCTCATAGTTGATATTTTTACCAAAACAATGTCCCCTCAAAGTTTCTTTAAACTTTATTAATATACCAGAACTTAATTCTATCTCAAAGTGTTTTAAACAAACACTTGGGTGTTATTTTCCAAAATTATTCAGGAAAACGAATGCTTTGCTTTTACCAATAAATGAAAGGGAACAAACTGATAGTTTTTAAGAGCTAGAAGATAAATGTATGTCCATTTTTGGCAAATGGTCAAAGAAAATTGTATTTGGCAGAAGGATCAGCTTTGTACCTTTTCCCTCCCCACCTTATAAATATATACACAAAAGAAACTTTCTAAAAAGGAAAATAAGAATTTATCCTTATTACCTCTTCTGTGATGATCAATTTCTGAATTTCTCCATTAGGCATTACCCGTTTATACACTGGAGGCTTTATCCTAAAAGGATTAAAATTAATTAATTAATTTAATTAAAATTAATTAAAAATTAAACTTGATTTTTAATCAAAACATTTGGTAAACTGCATTCTGCATAAAAGTACAGAAAATGAATAGAGCTAAGACAATAGGCCGAAGTTACAGCAAATCAGATTTAGGCTGAATATTAAAATACAAACTTTCTAACATTTAAGGTGGTCCAAAAATGGTATAGGGTGTCTAGGATGTCTGGGCACTTGAGAGGATCAGGAGAGGCTAGAAAACCATTAAGAAATCATATAGGGGGCATTTGTATCAGCTGAGGGACTAGATCTGTTAACTTTTTTTTTTTTTTAAGATTCGATAACCTTTAAAGTTTTATTCCAACCATGAGACTCTGAACTTCTAAGAAAAATAGGGTTTATTAAAAATACGATTCCCTGGTCCCATCTGGACCTACTGAATCAGGATATTCAAAGGAAAGGCCAAGGAAACAGTACATTTTGAAGGCATAGTCCAAGTAATTCTTACCAGGAACGACTGGGAATTACTGTTTTCATTTAGTGCTTCTCAAAACCTTAAGTGCTCACAGTCAAGTGGGGAATTTGTTAAACCACAGACTAACTAAATAGGTCTTGAATAGAGGCTGAGATTCTGCATTTCTAACAAGCTCTGCGTGATAAAGAGGACGCTGATCCACGGACCACACTTTGAGTAGCAAAATGGCTAAATCACTTTCCTAATCCTGTCTGATCGACAAAACGACACTAGGAGTAGAAAACTCTAATGAAGCAGGTCTGGAAAATGCCTCTAAGGGATCATCCCTGGCCCTAAAATGCGAGGGTCTGATTGTCACACAGAACCAACCGAACCACCTTCTAAATTTTAACCACCTAAGCCAAATGCCTATCACCCTTTCACCAATACCCATCAGTCACCTGAAACCTCATAGGTTCTGAGTCTAGCCCATCGGCCAGAGGCTCTCATTCTTCTGCATCTGACCAGACGATGTGTCATTGAAAGCAAAATAAATTATTTTTGATAGGAGTTTCACATCTTCCACTTCATACACTCATTACTTTCTATACTCATTACATGAATAGTTGGAAAGGGACTTAAAAATACTCATTATAAATTAGGAGACTGGGGGGCGCCTGGGTGGCTCAGTGGGTTAAAGCCTCTGCCTTCCGCTCAGGTCATGGTCTCGGGGTCCTGGGATTGAGCCCCGCATCGGGCTCTCTGCTCTGCGAGGAGCCTGCTTCCCTCTCTCTCTGCCTGCCTCTCTGCCTACTTGTGATCTCTCTCTGTCAAATAAATAAATAAAATCTTAAAAAAAAAAAAAATTAGGAGACTGAGGGGTGCCTGGGTACCTAAGTTGGTTAAGTGTCTGACTCTTGGTTTTGGCTCAGGTTATGATCTTAGAATTGTGAGACTGAGCCCCATGCTGGACTCCACGCTGGGTCATGGAGTCTCAAGATTCTCTCCCTCTCTCTAGCCCTACTCCCCCAGCAAGAGCAGACAAATGCTCCCTCTCAAAAACAAAAACCAAAAAATTAGAAGATTGAAACTAGAGGCCAGTTAACCTGAGCAAGATCTGAGTGCCATCATAAGATTTTCAGCTTTCCAGTCAGGAAGCTCCACTCCTGAGCTTCCTTAAAGTTCTTGAGCAAATGGCATACAAAGTTTTGCCACCTCTACTTTCTTCCCAACACTTAACAAATCCAACTAGTCATCTATTGCTATTGGATTACTGAGGAAATTCACATGAACCCACTAAAAACTTTGTAAGAAGCCATAAAATCATTAACTACTCCAGTTTTAAATAGCTCCCCAGATGGAAGGCTAGGACTCAATATGCAAATTTTTAAATGGCTACAATCCACATTAACCTTCCTGTCCAACCCTCCCTCTATTCAAACCTAAAACTGTGTACCTGCCCAACAAGTTCTTTTCTAAAGACTTACAACATCATTGCTGATAATAACAGGCAAAAAAAATCTAACTGAGCAAGCTATTTGACAAACATATTCTCTTTTTTTTTTTCATCTTTAGTAAACATATTATCTTACCTTTCTTTGAAGACTTGAAGTCCTCGAACCAATCCTTCCAAACACAGGAGATCGTATCTATTGGCAGGTACGTCAATTTTGTAAAGAACAACATCAGAGGCTCCCTCTGCCTTTTCATTACCTTGTTCCTTACTTATGATTTCCTTCTCGGAAGTCTAAAGCCCAAAAAAATAAGGTGAAACTAATCTAAATTCTTTTTTTTTTAAGATTTTATTTATTTATTTGACAGACAGAGATCACAAGTACACAGAGAGGCAGGCAGAGAGAGAGGGGGAAGCAGGCTCCCTGTTGAGCAGAAAGCCTGATGCGGGGCTCGATCCCAGGACCCTGAGATCATGACCAGAGCCGAAGGCAGAGGCTTAACCCACTGAGCCACCCAGGTGTCCCAACAAATCCAAATTCTTTGGAAAAAGTCGTTGTCAGTGCTACAAAGGGGCACCTGGGTGGCTCAGTCAGTTGAGCATCTGGCTCTGGGTTTCAGCTAAGGTAAGGATCTCACTGGTCCGGTCAGGTCGAAAGATCAAGCCCTGGAGCAAGCTCCCCGTTCAGCAGGGAGTCTGCTTGAAGGTTCTCTCCCTCTGTCTGTCCCTCCCCCAACTTGAGTGCACACACATCCTCGCTCTCTCTCTCCCAAAGTAGATCTTTAATTTTAAAAAAAAAGTGACATTGTGGCGCCTGGGTGGCTCAGTGGGTTAAGCCGCTGCCTTCGGCTCAGGTCATGATCTCAGGGTCCTGGGATCGAGCCCCGCATAGGGCTCTCTGCTCAGCAGGGAGCCTGCTTCCTCCTCTCTCTCTGCCTGCCTCTCTGCCTGCTTGTGATCTCTGTCTGTCAAATAAATAAGTAAAATCTTAAAAAAAAAAAATTTTTAAAAATAAAATAAAAAAAAGTGACATTATACATGTTCTTTCCTGCAATAAAATGTGTTTATTATATTTGCAACAAAAATATTAATGTTATTATCACAGCAACAGAAAATACCCAAATTTTTGCTGACTTCAGACATCTAGCATCCTCACTCATTTCGTAACAGCATAACTCCTCTACAGCAAAGGTCAGCAAACTATGGTCCACTGGCCACCTCTTCTTCTAAGTTTTAATGGAACATCACCAGGCCCATTTGTTTACATGTTATCTATTGTGACTTATATACCATAACAGCTGAGTTGTGATAGAGACTACACCATCTACAAGATTTGCAATCTGGCCCCCTATAAAAAGAGTTTATCCAAACCAGATTTAAAAGAAAATGAGCAGCAACAACAAAAAGTGTCAAAGAGGCAAAGTAAGTAAAGATAATTCACCAAATAAATAGGACTTCTTATAATGACTCTAAAAGCTAAATTCAGTAGGTACCCAAGCCTCGAAGCAACATGAGAATAATATTAAAAACAAAACAAAAGAGATCAAAACTGTGGTGTAAATTAGCAGAGATTACAGGCACAATGGGAAACAACCTAACAATAGTAAAGGTATAGAACAGTCAGAATAAAGGCAACCAAAAAGAGAGAAGAAACACTAGTATAATTTTAATGCAGTAGCCAAAAGCTTAGAATACCTCAATCATCATATTCTAGCAGAGAATAACAGATTTTCTTAAAAGTAACCATTTGGCAAGAATCACTGATACATGCCTGAGATAAGATACTATAGGTCACTTACTCTTCAACTTAAAAAGGCAGCAATTCTACGGACCTCTTTGATTGAACTTTATTTAAATTCTAATTCTTCCTTCTCTTCCTGCCTCCTTTCATGTCATACTCTCACTCCCTCATCATACGGGATGAGGCATTTTAGGAGAGACCCATATGCCAAAGGGGAGAAAATGTGGTAAGCAGAGAAATTAAGACATCTGAATTAAAAAAGAAAAAAGGCCTACTCCTTTTTGCAAAAAAGATACACCAGCTTAAATCTTTCATCTCAGTATCTCAATTCATCGTAAGACTATCTTAAGACTGGGTCTGTAAGGGCTGATAAAATCCTTATAGAAATAAAAGGTCACAGAACTTTCAAAGCTGGAAGGGATCTTCAGGGATCATAATCCACAGCCCCCATTTCACAGATGAAAAGGAGGCCAGAAGCAATGTGGTTATCCATGGTTACACAGCTAGTGAATATGGGAGCCTGAACTCAGATTTTCTGATATCCAGTCTAAGGCTCTTAGATATCATACAGCCTCAAACGTAACTGAAGTCTAACTATTAATAGCAACTTGAAGAAATCATAGCCAATTTCAAGCATAAAGATGTTCATTAACCAAAAACAAAACAAAAAAAAAAACAAACTTCCTATAACACCAGTAAAAAAGCAGCAGAAAAAACAAGGCGAGTCAATGCACATTTTTGTCAGCCTAAACCTCCTGCTAGAACACTGAATAGATCAAGAAAATAAAAGGCTTAAGAAAAAAACATTAATTACAACAGAAATACAAGGCCGGTTTCCATAGTGTAGTGGTTATCACGTTCGCCTCACAACAGAAATACAAAATTATGATTTTAGTTATAAATACAATGTCTTATGTGATCATTAGTAACATTTTGCAAGTAAACTTTTTAAAAGTATTTTAATTATACAATTAAAAGACTAGGAAAATGCTTCATAATGTTTTTATAAGCAATTCTTCAAAATCTAGAAAATCATCGCTTCTCAGCCTTTGATTAAGATCAAATGCAAAAACTAAAAGATCACTTTACAAGGTCAATGTATACAATAATGATTAGGAATGAATTAACACTGGTGAAACAGAACAGAGGAAACAGGAAAGGCAGTAGAGCACAGAAGAAGTGCAGGAGGAGCCGCCACACGCCACTGGAACTCTGGCTAAAGCAACATTTCCATTGTTCCCCAGGCCCCTTTCCATAATTGATTTGTAAAAAGGCACCTCACTGCCAGGGAGCACACACTCATTCTGGGTTACTCAAGATGGTCTATCCCTCTCCATAGCATTAGCCTGATAACTTAAGGTGACTGCATATAACTTAACGCGTGAACCTCTTGAGATTTTAAAGAACCAATAGATAGGGGCGCCTGGGTGGCTCAGTGGGTTAAAGCCTCTGCCTTCGGCTCAGGTCATGATCCCGGGGTCCTGGGATCGAGCCCCACATCGGGCTCTCTGCTCCGCAGGGAACCTGCTTCCTCCTCCCTCTCTCTCTGCCTGCCTCTCTGCCTACTTGTGATCTCTGTCTGTCAAATAAATAAATAAAAAAAACTTAAAAAAAAAAAAAAAAAAAAAAAGAACCAACAGATACCCTTAGAACTGGAGCTTAGCCCCTTAACACCAAGAGCACAGAAATCACAAGAGCCCACAAATGTTCCATCTTAGTCTAGCCATACGGTAACAAAGTACAGTAAACCTCTGAAAAACGTGCTTCCATGTGAAACATTTTAAAAATATTCAATACATACAATTTCATCAAGTTCCAGACCAAATTCAAAACATAATTCATCAAATTCTTCGTCAGCTGTAAAAAAAAAAAAAGATTGCTAATGTTAATCCGCTCAGTTTAAATGATAGTATGTAAACTGCATTTTCTTAATAACTGTCCAATATCAAGCTAGTATCAGGCATCAGATAGCACCATTTTAAAACCAACAAAAGGGACCAACACAAAACAAAAACCCTTAAACGAAACAACTATTTGAGGGCTGATTCCTTTAATTTCAACTACAGAATTAGGTTACCTGCAGTGGGAAACTCACATTTACTCAGAAAACCTTATTAGGTAGGTTATCAAATGTAAAGTAGGCTCCAAAACACAGATCCAGCACAATGGGATAATGTCATGTAAGTCACAGCATTTAAAATTCTGAGCCCTGATAGTAGGCTTTGGAGGCAGGCCAGTCAAAATTTGAACTCCTGACTATTCCATATACTAGCTCTGAGAGCTTGGCACCTTATGTAAACTTCCTGATACCTAGGCCTCATCCATAAAGTAGCATTTTACAGCCATTTTTTAGCATGGAACTCTGGGAAAGATTTCAATGACATTATGCAGGTAATGGACTTGCATAGCACTCCAAAACATAGTAGGTCTCCGATAATTATAGTTCTCGTCCTTGAAGTTATATTCTACTTTGCTACCTCATGTAGCATTTAGGGGAATTCCGTCATTATCAAAACTTGAACACAAACGAGGCGCCTGGGTGGCTCAGTGGGTTAAAGCCTCTGCCTTCGGCTCAGGTCATGATCCCAGGGTCCTGGGATCAAGCCCTGCATCAGGCTCTCTGCTCAGCAGGGAGCCTGCTTCCCCCTCTCTCTCTCTGCCTGCCTCCCTGCCTACTTGTGATCTCTGTCAAATAAATAAATTAATCTTTAAAAAAAAAATTGAACACAAACCATCATTACTAGTATATTCTAGTGAAAAGATGGTCTTAAAATTCTGACCCTGGGGGACGCCTGGGTGGCTCAGTGGGTTAAAGCCTCTGCCTTCAGCTCAGGTCATGATCCCAGGGTCCTGGGATCGAGCCCCACATCGGGCTCTCTGCTCAGCAGGGAGCCTGCTTCCTCCTCTCTCTCTGCCTACTTGTGATCTCTCTCTCTGTCAAATAAATAAATAAAATCTTTAAAAAAAAATAAAAAAAAAAATTCTGACCCTGGGCACCTGGGTGGCTCAATTGGTTAAGCGATCGCCTTCAGCTCAGGTCATCATCCTGGAGTCCTGGGATCGAGTCCTGCATCGGGCTCCCAGCTCCATGGGGAGCCTGCTTCACCCTCCGATTTCTCCCCTCACATGCTATCTCTCACTCTCTCTCTCTCAAATAAATAAATAGGATCTTTAAAAAAAAAAAAATTCTGACCCTGACAATGGACTTCAATGCGATACTTAAAAGTGTTATCTACTATAAGGCTACAAAAAAAAAAAAAAAAAAAAAAACAAGACCACAAAAAAAAAAAAAAAAAAAAAAAGTTCCTACTCTAATAAAGAAACCAGATGTGTAAATACAGTTATATTAAGTGCAAGGTACAGAGGTGGCACAAAGAAAGTAATCAGCTCCACTTAGAGTCTGCTAAGGCTTCACACAAAGGCTCAGTTCATCAGGCAGAGACTGTGGGGAATAGGACAACAGCATGGAAACTTTGGAAAGGTCAACAGGGATGAAGCATAAGGATAAAGTCAGAGATACAATGCAGCAAGCAGAAAGAACCCACATGCCAAGGGATGTGCTCAGGCAGTGGGGGTTACCCTGAAGGATTTACCGCTGAGTAAAAGCATGATGAGATCTGCACTTTGAAGAATGGAGACAGAGTGGTGGATGGACTGGAGCAGGGAGGCTTCTGCAACAGTACAGGGGAGGCACAGTGAAAACCTGACTGACGGAGCAGCAGTGGGTACAAGGTAGGAAGAATGTGAGGAACGTCAAAAAGGAAGAATCTGGGGGCGCCTGGGTGGCTCAGTGGGTTAAAGCCTCTGCCTTAGGCTCAGGTCATGATCTCAGGGTCCTGGGATCGAGCCCCGCATAGGGCTCTCTGCTCAGCGGGGAGCCTGCTTCCTCCTCTCTCTCTCTGCCTGCCTCTCTGCCTACTTGTGATCTCTGTCTGTCAAATAAATAAATAAAATCTTTAAAAAAAAAAAAAAAAAAGGAAGAATCTGTAAGGCTCAGCGACGGGATGGGAGGTGGAAATGGTGGGAGGAGAGTCTAGCACTCCCAGGTCTCCAGTGTAGGTCCGTTAACTAGGGCAGGAACAACAGATGTCCCCAGTGATCCCTGCTCTTGGTATTCACACCCTTGAGTAAACGGAGGTCTGAAGCAACCGCAGGAGTGATCCTGGAAGCATATTCCTCAGCCAGCCAAGCCTTCAGATGACTGCAGGCCCAGCTGACAGCTTGCCTGCCCCCTGGCCAGAGACCCAGAGCCAGAACCACCCAGCTAAGCTACTCCTCCATTCCACTCTCAAAAACTGAAATAATCACTTATTTATACACTCCTCTGTACTGGGGTAATTCGTCATGCAGCAATAGAGAATACAGACTTTAGTTCCTGGATGTGGAGTGCTGCCCTAACAAAATATGGGGGGGAAAACGGGAATGGCTTGAGAATCAGGAGGTGGTCTTTGAGCAAAGTGTAAATCAAAACCTCGAATGCCTTGAAAAAGCTGTTACAAGAAGCCTCATGGTCTTTAACGGATGCAGGTAAGGACATGGAGAAAACTGAGGGAGTGTTACTGGAAACTGGAAAAGGGGAATCCTTTTTATATAAAGGCAAAAGTTTAGCAAGCAATGCTACAGCCCACTTATGCAGACTACTGAAAATGTATCTGTTCAACTAGGCGATGTAACTAAGATTCCCAACCAATGCTACAAGTGTAGCCTGGTGTTTTTCTTGCTGTATACTGTGAAAGAGACAAACTAAAGGCCATTAAAAGGAGCCACAACCTGATCGTTTTAAAATTTCTCAGCCTCCTAAGATGTAAAACAGGACTAAAATTTAGGAAGGACTTCTGAGCAAAGAGTAAATCCAAGGCATTGCCAGGAAAGCATGGTCCAAAGACAAAATCAAGGATACAATTATAAAATCTTAAGTCTCAGAAAGATTAAAGCTACTATTCATTCAGATAAAAGGCACTATTAAGTCAAAGGTGTGCCTCACAAATTCAGTTATACAACTGAGTTTAATCGCGGGCACTACCAGAAAAAGCCCAAGGTACAAAACACCTTATTTCAGAGATTTCTGAGTGACCTGGCTGTCCATTAATGAAATGGAAACTAGCAAAATTCAATGAAGACCCGCAGTGTTTTAGAGATACATGGGCAGAACCATTGTAAGCCTGAGCTGAAAGGGACAGAGGACAAAATGAAGTCTTTGAACAGCCAATATTCTATTAGCAACTAACAGACTGAAAAAATTAATCACATGTAAAGCACCTGCTTTCTTTCACCAAAAAAAAAAAAAAAAAAAATAGTGAGTGTAGCCAAGAGCCTAGACAGGGCTAAAAGCCACAGAGAATGATTCCAGGGCTTGAGACCTCATCAAGAAGGTCCAACATGTGCCAGCTCAATTTCAGAACGGCCATGGACCAAGGACTCCTTTGTGTCTCCCACTTTCCTTTCTGAAAAGGAGTATGTATAGCAGTTTTCCTATGCCTGTCTCACCACTGATGTTAGTTGTCGGTGAAGCGGACTGTGTGTCTCTTTAGTGTCTGAGACCAAGAGTAATTATATTCAAGCAGCTGTACTTACACAACTACACCTGAAGAGCCTCATCCACACCTGGACCTGATTTAGAGGAGATTCTGGATTATGAGATGCTGCTGTAATGGGATGACACTTCTGGAATCCTTGGAAAGGGATGAGTAGATTTTACATGTATGAGCAACATGAATCACTGGGGGCCAGAGGGCAGACTGGCAGTCAGCCTCCCAAACTACCTGCCTCCTGTTTTTTACACCCTTGTGCAGTTCCCTCCACACTGTGAATTGGTCTGTGTGACCTAAAGAAGATAGGAAGGGAAGGCATGTCACTTCTGAGATACTACTAAAAACTGGGCTTCTATCATTCCGAACACTCAATTACCTGCTCTCTTAGGTCCTCTCATTCTGAGACAAACAAGCCACCATATTGCAAGCAGTCCTAGGAGAGGTCAAGGTGGGAGGAACTGAAGTCTCTGACCAAAAATGTGCAAGGAACAGAGACCTGCCAACAACCACTTGAGTGAACTTGGAATTAGATTTCAACCCCATTTAGGGCCTTGAGAGGACTACAGACCTGACACCTTTATGACAAGGTAGTAAGAGATCCAGAGCCAGAACCACCCAACTAAGCCACTCCCCAATCCTGGACCCTCAGAAGCCATATAACAAATGATTGTTTTAAGCTGCTAAATTTAGGGGTAGTTCATTATGCAGTAACAGATTGCAATCTGGTCAGTAACCATTTAGTTATTAAAATATTGAATCTTTCCGGATGCCTGGGTGGCTCAGTGGGTTAAAGCCTCTGCCTTGGGCTCAGGTCATGATCCCAGGCCCTGGGATCAAGCCCCGCATCAGGCTCTCTGCTCAGCAGAGAGCCTGCTTCCCCCCCCCCCCCCACTCTCTCTGCCTGCCTCTCTGCCTACCTGTGATCTCTGCCTGTCAAATAAATAAAATCTTAAAAAAAATACTGAATCTTTCAATGAATCCTAATTATAGTTTTACTCCTTTTAGCTGTATTTCATGTGCTTAGAAACAAGAACCAACAAAATTGCAATTAATAATCCTAACAAAATGATGCACCTAAGTGCCTATATCTTAGCGGTTTGTAGGACATACACAGGTGGCTCTGACAGTACTGTCAGCCGTCATACCAAGGCAGAGCAGGACCAGAACTGAACAGCAATAATCAGTTAACAAGAAAATGAACAAGAAAACACCTGAGGTGATAAAAAGATAGACTGAGAGGAACACCTGGGTGGCTTAGTCAGTTAAGTGTCTGCCTTCGGCTCAGATAATGATCCCAGGGTCCTGAGATCAGTTCCACATCCAGCTCCTTGCTCAGGAGAGAGCCTGCTTCTCTTTCTGCCTGGCACTCCCCGTGCTCGCTCCCAAATAAATAAAATCTTAAAAAAAAAAAAAAAAAAAAAAAAAAGACATTGCCAGATTCTTTGGGGGGGAAAAAAAGGTAGATGGAGAGAAAATTGCCCCAGAGAAGCAAAATGACTAAAACTAAAGCAGCTTGAGAAATATCCCTGGTAAGCAAAGAGATTGAAAGGGAAGGCGGGAAGGCATGGACTGGAAGAAACAATGGAGTTTAGGACAAAAAGAGATACAAAAGAGTTAGTACAGGAAATAGAAAATCGGAAAATAGAGAGGAAGACTGATTAAGAGAGGGTAAGAAACGAGATGGAACCACACTACTTGGAAACTATATACTTTGTCCAACATGCTTTTCCAACATTGACCTCAACCCAATTACGTTCAAAAGTTTCAAGAACATGAAATATAAACTAATAAGTTATTTCTGACTGTCTTAAGTACATCTCAATAACATCAATCTTTCTGACTGATGTTTTTAGAGTCAGTAGCTGATGGGTACTTATGGGGAGGAAATCAAGCTTGTCTGAAAGCTCTCACGTAAAAAAAGGGGAGGCAGCTAGAGAATATATTAAAACATCAGATAACAGTAAATAGATTATAAATCTCACCATTTTAAAAACCTAGAACAGGGGCACCTGGGTGTCTCAGCCAGTTAAATAACTCTGGATTTCAGCTCAGGTCATGATCTCAGGGTGGTGGGATACAGTCCCACAATGGGCTCCATACTCAGCGGGGAGTCTGCTGGAATTTCTCTCCATCTCCCTCTGCCCTCCCTCCCCATGTTTGTGCGCACACTCTCTCAAATAAATAAATCTTTAAAAAAAAATAAAAATTTTAAGAAAGTAAATAGGAACCTAGAGAATTTCTTACTTTCCCAGAAATGGATACTTGGGTAGTAACTAATCACAGAGGTCTTGAACAAGTATTTGCCCCATACCATCTTTTGCAATTCAGGCATATCATACACCATTAGTATATGAGAATATGGTTTAGAAAAATGGGTTAAGGGGATGCCTGGGAGACTCAGTCATTAAACATCCGCCCTCAGCTCAGGTCATGATGCCAGTGTCCTGGAATCTAGTCCCACATCGAGCTCCTTGCTTGGGAGGGAACCTGCTTCTCCCTCTGCCTGTTGCTCCCCCTGCTTGTACTCATTCTCTCACAAATATAATCTTAAAAAAAAAAAAAAAAAGTAAAAAAGAAAACTTTTTTTTTAAAAATGGGTTAATATAAATATACACACACAAAAAAAGCGTATAAAAAGTATAAAAAATTAAAAAGTATAGAGAATTAGAGCTGAATTCAGAGTTCAAGAGCATGACCTCTACTTTTAGGGAATAGGGCAGAACCATAGAAGGAATACTTGAAGAATACATAGTACCTAAATTTACACCTTCAGAAACATTTTAAAAGCTAACTATTTCCAGGTAACATCTCATTCTAGGAAGGAGTACCTGTTAAACCGACTAGGGGTCTGTTATCATACTGAGCCCTAAAAACCAAAAATAGCTCTCACAAACCAACTGCCACAGCCTTTATATAAGCTGATAACTAGGAGAGGCAGATATCATTTCAACTGCTACATCCATATGGTCTCTGATAATTGTACTTAGTATTTCATCTTTTTTCTAAATGGGGATGTTTTTGGAACTGAGAGATGACATGTGTATGAGATGAGGACAGCCCACCCAGGAGACTCCTCGTCGTCATTCGGGTCTCAGCTCAGATGTTACTACGGCATCTAATGTTCTTCTTAGCACCGTATTTTTGTTTTCTTGATAGCCTTTAATGTAATCCAGAATCATTTTATTAATATGCTGGGTAATCATCGTCTGCCTCCCTTATTAGAATGTGAACATGGACCTCTTGCGTCATGTGCACCGCTGTATTCCCAGAGCGCTTAGAACAGTGCCTGGCACATAACAGAGGCTCAGGAACCCTTAATAAAACAGACATAATACCACCCCTTCCTGCTCCAACTTCTCCTTCCACTCCCTCATAAATGGAGTTTCTATAGCGCTCTTGTTGCACTCCACTAGCTGCCCTCAGGCTGCAACCTAGGGCTTCATTCCTACTCGATCCCCTGGCACCAAGCACGCGGCAGATGCTCCTTGGGAGACTGCTGAATGAATGACACGACGAAGTGGACAGGCGCAAATGATGCAAAGACAGCCCTGGCATGTCTGATTGCGAGAGGTTACTTCAGCCCAGCCCCGCTGATTGGCCGGTCCGCCAGCCATCCCGGTCTACACCCGGAGCACCCGAGGCCAAAACCTGCCGGGCAACATGAGCGTTACCACCAAGAAGCCCTCTTGAGGGAGCTCCAGGCCTCTGAGGACAGGCACAAAGCCAGGTAATGGGGCCCGCACTTACTGTAGTTCCGACCCAGGGCTTGGAAGAGCAGATCTCGCTTCACGCTGACAGTCGGCATGGCGAGACAGACCCCACTGCGCCTGCGCCGTGAACCAGCCGGCGCTCAGCTCCCGAGGCGCGTAGGACCCGGCACCACTTGCACGGGCTCTCTTAAATATTGCCAGCCTTCTTCCAATAGTTTCTGCCTCATTTTTCTTCTGGAGGCAAGTACATTGCCACAAATAAACCTCTAAATCCATCTAGTTGTATGAATGACTTGAAGGCTAAGAAAGAAACAAAAATTGGGTAGAAAATGTGCTATGATTCGATAGGCAGTAGAAAGGACAGACCGCAAAGGCCCTCACGCGTCTAACCCCCCCCCCCGTGGGCGGGGTACGACCCACTAGTACGCGGGGCACAAGGGACAGCACGTAGAGGGGCGGGGCCTGGGGGGGCGCGTCTTCTCGGGGGGTGGGGAGAAGGCAAGCGGGCAGGCGGGGTTTGCGGTATCCTACGAGGGAAAGTGCGCAAATATGAGCTGTGGAAGCCGGACATTAGTTTGGGCTTTGTTCTTCGTGCTTGCATAGTCTCCCTTGTCCCCTGTAAGTTTTATGTCGGGGTTGTAGCCTTGCAGCAGCCCCTTTTTAAGGAAGGTTTCTTTAACGACTTTAGAAGAAACTGATACTCAGTGCTGTCTGCTGGCAGAGGCTGGGCTCAGTCCTCCGCCGGCATTAGCAAGTTTCCTATTTCTGGCAACCCTGAATGTAATGCGTTGAATGCCCCTCCACCCCGCCCAAGATACTCAGGTCCTAAGCTCTGACCCCTATAAATTTTACCTCATGTGGAAATAGTCTTTGCAGTTTAATTTAAGGATCTGGAGTTGGAGGGATTATCCTGGATTATCAGATGGATCCTGAATGCAATCACGGGCGTCCTTTGAAGAGGGAGGCAGAAGGACATTGGACAGACAGAAGAGGGGCAGGCAGTATAACCAAGAAGGCACAGACTGTAATGATGTAACCACAAGTCAAGGAATGCCAGGGGCCACTTGAAACTGAAGAGGCAATGAGGGATTCTCCCTCTGGCCTCTGAAGCAGACCTACAGTTTGATTTTGGCCAAGTGAAACGGATTTTGGACTTCTGGCCTCCCCGACTGTGAGAGAGTAAACTCGTTTTAACCCACCAAGTTTGTAATTATTTGTTGCAGGAAATACACCTACATAGGTGATCATTATTCCCATTTTACAGATGGTGAGACTGAGGCGCAAGCTGAGTCACTCAACTTTCAAGGCAGAGCTGAGGCAGTTTCATGGGGGGAGACCTGCCCTTAACCTTCCTCTGTACAGTGAGTTAGGGCTTCCAAAGCCATTCAGGTGGGAGACAGTAGGTGAGTGGAACTTGGGCCTCTCTGACTACCATTCAAGCAGGTTTTCACTACATTAGCTTCCCTCCATGACACAGGGAATCCCTCTCCAGTGCCCAACATAACAGATTGGCAGAGGCCCCATCAATGGCAAACATCTCTAATATCCAATAAAATCTTCTGCCAAATTGGTACTCACATCCCAGTGAATAAAGGACTTCTTAAGTTTCTGCATGCTGACCTGCCCTCCTCTGGGCACTCCAAAGTGTTCTGTCACCTCTAAACCTCACTTTCCTTATCTATAAAAGGGATAATATACACCTTAGAGAATTATCCTAAGGATCACAAATCCTCGTGAATGATTAATACAGTTCTTACGTCCTAGGTCCTGGAAATCAAGCAGCTGTCAGTCATCTACCCTCCTAGTTGGTTTCCTGCTGGTCTCAAACCAGCAGGGCATTCTGGTTTTATCTTCCCATATTCCCCAATGCATCCACCCTGCTTTTCATCTTTGCACCTGCTCTGGTACTGAACGTTTTAAGGATTCTAATGGAAAAAAGAAAACTATATCACTCATCACAAGTGCTCAGCTGACTGATAGGGAAGACATTCAGAAAATGTTGAGAGAGTAGATCACAAAATGTAGGTAGGTGTTGCTTTTGTCTAATGTTAGGGATGGCTGGAGAGCAAGAGATGAAAGATGGGCTGGCCAATACACATAAAGGAAGGATTCCCTGTGTCATGGAGGGAAGCTAATGTAGTGAAAACCTGCTTGAATGGTAGTCAGAGAGGCCCAAGTTCCACTCAATCCAAGACTGAGGCACAAGCTAAGTCACTCAACTCTCAAGGCAGAGCTGAGGCAGTTTCATGGGGGGAGACCTGCCCTTAACCTTCCTCTGTACAGTGAGTTAGGGCCTCCAAAGCCATTCAGGTGGGAGACAGTAGGTGAGTGGAACTTGGAAAACCAAGTTAAAATCATAATGAAGTACATTTTCATACCTACCAGATTGGTAAAAACGTGAAAGTCTGACCCAAGCAAATGTTGGCAAGAATCTGGAATATAAATTGGTACAACCACTTTGGAAAATAGGGTCTTAATTAGAAAGGCAGAACACGTGCATATCTGACTATGTTACACTCCCAAGAATATTCCCCAGAGAAACTTACCCATGTGCCCTGAAAGAGCAAATTAAAATGTTCATTATTAAAAAAAAAAAACCACACACACACAACCCAAACTGGAAACAACCCAATGTCCATCAATACTAGAATGCATAATTAGGATAAATCCATACAACAAAACACTGTGCGGCTGTGAAAATGAATGAACTACAGCTGATGTATAAACTTGGATAAGTCATAAAAATAGAATATTGAGAAAAAAGTGAACCACAGAAGCATCTACACAGTGTGGTGTCATGTATATAAAAACAAAAACCAGGTTAACCTAGAGAGTATATTGTTTAGGCATACATAAATAGATCGTAAAACTAAAGAAAATGGATTATAAAATATGGGAGTAGTTAGTTCAGAGTGGAGTAGAATTGATGTAGCCTGGGAGCATTTCAAAATCATTTCAAAAATATTGGTAATGTTCTGGGGGCGCCTGGGTGGCTCAGTCAGTTAGGTGGCTGCCTTTGGCTCAGGTCATGATCCCAGGGTTCTAGGACTGAGCCCCTGATCAGCAGGTAGCCTGCTTCTCCCTCTGTCCTCCCCCATCCCTGCTCATGCTCTCTTTCTCTTTCTCTCTCACATGTACTCTAATAAATAAAATCTTAAAAAAATATATTGGTAAGGTTCTGTTTTACTTAGCATACCTTCATGGGCATATCTTAAGAAATTAAAAATGAAGGTAAGAAACAAGAGATGAATGTGACCCTTTTGGGGCGGGGGCGAGGGGGACAAATGCTTGGTGGCCTTTAAGAAAGCAATAGGAATAGTTGACTTTGGGTTTCTTTTAAAATGAAGATTTAAATAAAAAGTTTTAGTATCATTTAAAATTCTCTTACTTTATAGATTCTGGGCTTTAGGTTACATTTTATACAGTCTTTCACCACCTCAAGATTGTTTTATAAAAATCACGTATGCTTCTTAAAGGGCTTAGAATTTTTAAAAAAATCTTAGATCTTGTTGAAATTTATTTAGGTTTCAGAGCAAGTGAGTAAACCAGCTTTATTTTGTTTTCAAACAGCAATCTAGTTAGCCCAACACAATTTGCTAAGACTTTTCTTCACAGATTTGAAATAAATTTTGAGTATTACATTTCTTTTTAAAAATTTTTTTTTAAAGATTTTATTTATTTATTTGACAGAGAGAGATCACAAGCAGGCAGAGAGGCAGGCAGAGAGAGAGGAGGAAGCAGGTTCCCTGCTGAGCAGAGAGCCCGATGTGGGGCTCGATCCCAGGACTCTGAGA